TAATTTTTAAATAAATTCTTATATAACAATAATATTTATATGTATAATTGTATCATTTTTAAACAAAATAATGATACGCTAGAAATATAAAAATATTTTTTTATAAATTTTAAACAAAGATTCTCTTTCACATTAATAGAATATTATGAAACTACTATTTTACTATTGTATATTGTACTATTTAAACAAATAAGTTTTAACAAATATAATTATTATGATAAACTTATTCATGTATTTATAAAATGCAATAATCGGTTTATATTATACTGTTACAAGAAACATAATTTAAATTCTTTCTTATACAAAATAATAAATTCAAATAAAACAATAATATAGTTTCCAAATATTAATGAAAGTAATTGTGTAACTTTATTCAATTTGAATAAGATTTGTATCGAGAATATTATTCAAACTTTTAAAACAATTTGTAACACGGATAAAAATATTTAATCTTTAAAAGTTAAAAATTCAACTAATCCCATTCTACCTTTATTTAAATAGTCGCGTCTCTTTATTAATCCAAATGGAAATTATGCAGTAATACTATATATTTAAATACATATAAGCTCTTCTAGTAAATGAAAAAGATTTTTCCTAATCGTATTATTCCCTTTCCACTTAATCATATTTTAGTATTATGTTACTAAAAAGTTATTTTTTCCTTTTTAACATAAAACCATATGCAAAATTGTTAAGCATATATTTATTAGTAGATATGAAGTTAAAATTGTAGAATGTAAAATCCTTTTGGAACGTAGAATTTATTAATATGTTTTACAGTTTAAAAGTAACGAAATAAATAAATTAATTTTAAAACACTTTTTAATTAATAAACGTGATTTTAGAATTATTCGATTTGTTTCACAATTCGAATAATTTTTCAATAAAATAAATTATACTAAAACTTGGTTATCATATTAATCATTTATACACATGAATATTTAATTAATGTTGATTAACTGAATTTATAATTATCGTTACTTCATTTACATAAATCTTTTATTTACTGCACCAACAATGATTATAAATTTACTATTTTAAAGGAAACGACTTACTCTTAACGTTTCGAATCGTGATAAGAAATATAATAATTTATTCTACGATTCTGCAACAATAGAAAATATAAATATTCAGAAAAAAAAATATATAAAGCAGTGACTTCGTTATAGAAAAAATCGAAGAGGAAAAAGAGAAAGAAAGAGGTCGATTAAAAAATTAAATGACAAAGACTTTCGATAAAAATAATTATGCTTTTTTTCTCTCAAAATATATTCGTATAATATATAATAATAATAAAAAAAGAAAGTATGTAAAAAATAAATGCTCAATAGTAAGAAAATTCTACGTACACCGAGTATAAGTTCTCGCAGATTCTTTAATCCAAAACGAGCAAACAAACTAAGAACCGCAGCTGTTCTGAATTTATCCAGAGCTAAAAAACGCCCCTCGTTATTCTATGTCGGTCCTAACAAGCACGCAAAGGAACATTAAAATGTAAAAAAACCTACCAGAAACGTAACCGTAATTCGTGACAATCAAAGCACCTTATTTCGCAAATCTTTTATGAGAAAAACACCGCTCGAATCACCTCTGTTTTCTTTACCCAAGTTTCTAATATATAACGACGGCAACGAAATAATCAGATTGAATATCTATACATATTTACACTTAACGAAATCAATTTATTAAACCGATTTATAATACATATAAAAAAAAATATGTATTGAAAAAATATATATTAAAATAGAATTTTTTAATTCTAGTTATTCAATTTGAAAAATAAAATAATTGTAAAAATAGATTATTTTTAAAATATTGTATTATATTGTATTAGTTACTTTTATTTGTTATTCATTATAGATAATGCTTGCTTAACAATTAGTATACATCTTCTACACAATAAGTAAAAGATTATCTTTAGTTAATAAAAAAAAACGAATTATTATTATCTTTATTTTTTTTTTGTACAGTTGATACAAATAAATTTTTCGTTTGAATAACTTTTTCCTACCACACACGGCCACAAATAGTAAGAAAACTGTGTATATACGTAATAGAATGAACACCCCGTATAGCAAGAGATTCCACTATCTACAATTGTTCTTCCTCCATATCCAAATAAAAAGACCGATGAAAAACGTCTTCCATTTTACATATGCCGAAAACGAAATTACTTCCCCGCCAACCTAATATTTCAAAGGTTTTTCTGCTCATGACTTCGACGAGTTCCTCGAGAATATCCACATCTATCCAAGCGATTTCGTATCTACTGTACCTATTGCCACCCTACTTTGATGAATTTCCAGAAGGACGAGGGAGAGTAAAAAAAGAATCGAGAGGGAGAGAAAGAGAAAGAAATATATTATCCATCTATATGTACATTCACTTACATAGATTTATTATAGTTACTGTTATATCGTATTTTGAAATTTTCAAATAATAATAGAAAAAATAGAAGAGACAATCAGAGAGAGAGAGAGAGAGAGAGAGAGAGAGAGAGAGATTTTGTGTCTACTATATTTTGATGAATTTTAAATAATGGAAAAAAAAAAGAAAAAAAAAGAAAAATGAAATAGCAGAGAGAAAAAAAAATAATCAAAACATGTTATCCATATGCATATTATATATCTAATTGCTATAATTTGATTGAATAACAAGAAGAATATGAAAGAAAATAAAAATATGAAGACAAACAAAGAGAGAGAAAGAGAGAGAGAGAGAGAGAGAGAGAGAGAGAGAGAGAGAGAGAGAGAGAGAGAGAGAGAGAGAAATCGAAACATGTTACATTTTTTAAGCGATGACAAGGCTCACCGCAGTCTTCGGATGGGTAGAGGCCGGTTTTCGCGAGAGACAGCCTGTACACCATCCGGAAAATCGGATTACGTGCAAACGTTAGCGCCGTGCCGGGTTAAAGCCTCGTAAGGGATGAACGGGGTGAATCGGCGCCGCTTCAAAGTAACGTCTATAACTAATTACGAGGTCTTATCTATAGGTCGCTTAAAAGGCGTTGATTAAACGTAGATTCGTTGCCCGTTTCACGGGAAAGATTCGATTAAATGACTGGATGTTCTTTTTTTCCTTTTTCTTTTTTATCTGTTCGAAAGGATCTGGCCGCAATCCGGGAGGAAAAATATCTTTCAAACGAGCCGATTCTTTGAAGAGAAAGAGTTGCTGTGTGTTGAAATTTGAAAATACGAGAGATTACGTGTTTATGTCTGTTAACATCCATGGTCGAGGTGGAAAATCCGTTGGAATTTGTAAAATTTGCACATTGAGGAAAAGGATTCGGAGAAAATACAAGTTTCAAGGATGTTTATCGAAGAAGAATTAAATAATAAGTCGAATTAATTACAATTACAATACAATACAAATTATTGGCTTGTAAGAAAGTATTGGTAGTTTTGACAAAATTAATAATGATTTTTGTTCAGAAACATGATTATGTATATCTGATTACTTTACAAAATACTAATATTTTGATTCAATTCATCTGTGTATATTTAAATACATATTATAAATCAATTTTAGTGTTAAGTTTATTGCCTGCAATAAGACATTAGGGGTCTTTAACTTTAATGATTTTTGTTTATCAATGTTATGTATAAAATTTAGAAGAAATTTATTGATCTATTCAAATATTCATTTTCAAGTTATGTAATTACATGTTCAAAAGAAAATTAAAAGATATTTTTATCTACAATAAACGAGTATTCTATTGGAATGACAAAAAATTCTGATCTAATGTTACAGGATTAATTTAAATGACGATAACAGTTTATTTCTACATAATTTCAATTTAAATTTTTGAGTATGCTCGTTTTTATAAAGTGATTCTCTAAATTTTTTCTTTTGATAAAAATATTTTTTAAAAATCTCAAATATAGCAAAATACAAACATTCGTATCATAAATCTGAAAATCCATGGAAATGACAATATTTTTAGGAGGAGATAGCTGATTTTATCTTCTGTGTATGGAGCAAAGGTTAATTTCCTGTCGATGAATTGAAATTTGACTGTTGATATAGTAATTAGATTGCGGATATGCGAAACCAAGTAATGGGGTTATGAGCATATGGGTACACGCTGCACGTGTTTTTAGTGGTAACCAAGAGAACTAGTGAAAGTTTGCACATGATATATTAAATCCGGAACAGGAGGTAAATTCGATAAATTTTAATTGTTATTTGTTTAACGCTATTGCGCATATGGATGTTGTATTAGATAGATGTAATTATCATCTCGTTGAAAGCTATTTTAATTAGATTACAATGTTAATAACCTTTCTACAATTAATTATTCTGCTAAAGTTAAACTATTAAAATTAATTGTGATTCTGAATTTGCTGTTTTTGTTATGTATAGGATATTAATATATTTGTGTATAATTAATGTATACGTCTTTAGATTTTAAAGGCGAAAAATATAAAAATTGGCATACAAAAATGTTTGTTGAGACTTATTTATTAAATTAATTATTAAATTAAGTTGCGTTAGATGAAGCGAGATAGAATGAATGTAACGGAGATAGAGTTACTTTGTGTCTTTTACTGCAAACTTTAATTGTTTATAACTTAATAAATAAACTTCGATTTTTGTATATCACCTTTTGATTTCGTTTTGGTGTTTTTAATCTTTTATAAATTTCACGAATATATAACACTTTATATAATAACATTTTATTACTATAATTATAATAATTTAATGTAAGATATATTATATTTATATTAGGTATAAATTGTATATGTATTAAAATCAAATAATTGTTATTAATTCATGTTCAAGAAAAAATTAAAAAAAATATATATATATAAATATTGATAAATATATTTCAGAAATTTATGCTTTCTATAATTAAAAATAAATAAAATATATAAAACGTACATATGTTTTCTTGCAATAAAAAGGTTTAAAATATAAAAAAAAAATATTTTGCAAAAATTTTCTTTCTATGTTTATTTAACAGCAATTAAACTATGCACATCAAAATATAAATATTTTACCTGTAAATGAATGTTCCACGATCTGATTGGTCGTTTATCATTAGGCATCGTATTGTCTGATATCTGAAATATAATGCAAAAGATATCTCATAAATAATAAAATTCTGAATTTTATTGTACATATTATTATTATAATATCATTATGTAATATAATTATTACATGATAAATATTTTTCTTAATAATAATCATAGGAATAAATTGTATTTTATAAAGAAATAAATAACAATAATTATATTCAGATCAATGTAATTATATTATGTTTATTTTTAGAAACATAATAAATTTATAAGTTACATGTAATATATGATATGATATATTTTCTCGATGAAACTAGAAGTTAAACAATAATAAATGCAATAATTGTTTCTTCTGCATGCATCATATTATAATTTTAAGTAAATTACTTTCACTTATTTTTATTTATTATTATTATTTATTATTATTTATTTTTATTATACTTTCATTATGAATATTTTTTTATTCCATCCTATGAAAATATGAGAAAAATGTCTCATAAGTAATTAGAATAATAAAAAATTACATTTTAAAAATGTTAAATTTAAGAATATATATATTTAACTATTTCGTATTTAACTATTTAACTATTATCGTTTTAATACTGTATCAAAATCTTTTCATAAAAGATGCTTAAGATATTATCCTTAAAGTTTTACAACTCTAATAATTCTTAGCTCAGTGCGTAATTCTTTGAATTAATTTACATTTTAATTCGAAGATAATACGTGTTTTTCTTGTATGTTCTACATTGTACTTAAGACAGTGACGAACAAGATTTATTTGAAATTGAAATAAGAATATTAAAGAGAATTAATATATCGATTCATTTAAAGTAATTTTCTAACAATAAAAACGTACAATTATTTTTCTATGACGAAGAACAAAAAAAATTTAATTTGTTTCAAACATTATTATCTTAATATTTGATTTGAAAATAAAATTTTTTAAAATCAATAATTAAATATATTAGAATAATTATAATATAATTTCTGTTTCATGTTCAAGAAAAAATTTAAAAATTAGTTAGTTATTTTCTTTAAGAAACATTCATTATTTTCAAAATTATTTCTTACATTTACATTTTGCTATTTATTTTCTTTCAATGAAATTCAAAATATCGACAGAAATAGATGAAATATAATTAACAGATAATTTCAAACTAATTACTATTGTTTATATAATCAAATATGCGTGATTAATAATGGTTAATACAATTTTGTAAAATGCATGAGAAATGAACGCTCTTCGTGATCATAATTGCAATTTATGGATCACGTAATAGGAGATCTAAAATCATGAACAATTATTTACATAAAATATTCAAACAGAATAGATATATTATTCGAACAATAAAATTTCCATTAATTGTTAAATAACATATCTATCACATAAGTAAAAATAGATCTTTATGCAAATAGAAAACAAAATTTGTACAAAGAATATAAAAATCAAAATTATTACTTGAATTATTAATAATAATAATTATAATATAATATAATATAATTATAATATAAAAATGACAATTATTCAATTTTTCCAATCCAAAATACAATTTATGTAAAATTTAATAAATACACATGCATTCATAAAATTTTTTATTTTCTTCGAATATTAAATAATAACAGTCTAATAAATTTTTACACATTAATAAAATTGACCAAAACATTTCTCCTTTATTAATGCTTGATATTACGTTTCGATTTCAATATATCTTCCTATTTAAACGACAGTATTTACAATTCAAATATGTCAAAATGGGTCAAAAATGATCCGGACTCTTTTTGATTGACGATGATTAAAATATAAAAAACCTGAATAGAAAAATAAAATTTTTATTGCAAAATAAGCGCATCAACATTGATTACACGAATTCAAATGATTATACGTGAAACCAAGTAGCAAACACAATACGTTAACATTTTCAAAGGAACATCACACTTGACATAGTTGATTATCGCGAGTTTAATTGCGTTACGGTCGTTTGCCATGAAAAGTGACAATAAGTCAAGCGTCCTTAAATTGGTGGCTAGCGGGAGTTGCAAAATTACGTGCCGTAATTTTGTGCTCGCCTAAAGTGTTTATTCGCAAACGGCTTGAAGGATTTCTATGTAGAAAATACAGCTACGCCGATGCATCGACGATTTACTCCGCAAAGCGACTGTAAACGAGAATGCAGCTTTCAAACTGAAACAGGCTTCCCTAGGTTGCTATGTGGGTTAATCGGTTTCCGTGCAACAACACTTGTACTATCTAAAAACGATTCCGCGATAAAGCATTTACGACATGATTAAGAAAATATTTGGAAACACTATCGAGAGCGCGAGAGATTAATTTTGCTACTTTGGAAATTGGCATATATCGAGATTTATAATATATGTGAAGAGATGATGAGAAAAGATTAATAATCGAAACAATTAATCTTATTATAACAATAATTAATAGATTATTATATATAGATGATTGAAATTTGAGTAATATAGATTATAATGTAGCATTATGACTGATGACGCCATACTAGAGCCACGTGACTATTAACTACATATCCAATACATCCAATGTAGTGTTCTCTATTTTGATTTAAACATTATTGTTTATTAAATATAAAAATATATAAAAATAAATATAAAATTATATAAAATTAAAAATCTTTGAAAAATAAGAATAGGATTCTTTTAAGGTATTTCGTGTTAATTTTTACAATTTTTTAAAATTAAAATAATATACAAATAATGGATTAGATAAAAATAGAAAGTTAATTATTTCTTTTTTAAAACAAAATAATAAATCTTAGCATATTTGATATAAGAAAAACAATTGGATTTTATATATTAATAAAAAGAAAAATAAAAAATAACATCAAATATTGACAAAAGGAAGTTCTTTTATTAAAAGTTTGCGATGATCACGATGCAATCAAGGGGAATTATAGTCGACAATTTCAAAGCCTAAAAACTCATTTCTTTTATCCCTTAGTCCAGTGACCTAAGAAACATTATAAAGGAAGTTCTAAAGGAAAACCGTGAAAATAGCGAGCAGAGGAGGCTCAAAGCGATCTAGAGCGAAGCCAAGCCGGGCGAAAATCCCTCACTGTTGCCGAAATTCCACACGTCAACTATGAAGCATTAGGAGAAGACTTGTGGAACGATTGATGACTAGTCAACGCCCTCGAAGAGAAGATTCACCAATCGTGATCGCAAAAACCAACAACAGATGCAAATTTCAATGTAGATTAGTCAAGTTTCGAGGGTAAAATTGATTAATAGTCGATCTTAACATTGCAAGTTTTTCATGTTGTCGAGGACACAGTGGAGAGAATTGAAGAGATTTCTAGTAGATTGATTCATGGATCAATTTATAGCCAGTATACGTACTTATTAATCAAGAGGATGGAACTTTAAAATCAAATTTTACCATGAAAAATATCAAAGATAATTCTTATAGAAAAATATAATTATAAAATAACGAAAAATACAATCTATATAATTATAACAATTTATATTAAAGAAAAAGTCAAACGTAAATCTCATCTTTCATCTTTTACATTTCTTAGAAAAATTTGTCACAAAATAAGAAATCACCATTCGTCACCTTTCGTCATCGATTTTAATTAATAACTCGAATTAACACTATTTCAAAAATCCTTCGCGAGATGTATTCTCTATTCGTGGGAAAAAACGGAATTTTCGTCACAGGATTGTCACGTTCCAGCAGAGAGGAGTCCGGAAATCGTTTGTTTCGATTGTTCCGCGTTAACTGCGGATGGAAAATCGCAAAACAGAATAAGAAGAAAAAAAAAAGAGGGCCAAGAGGAGCCGTGTAGCCATGGCGAGGCAATTCGGCGCCTGGCGCGGAACAGAACGGGCATCCGTGTAATCTGGAGGAACGAAAAAAAAGAGAGAGAAAGAGAGAGAGAGGAAAAAAAAGTTCAATTTGGCGAACACACCTCGAGACTTGGCGAGGAATCACTGGCCTGGCCTATCGAGGACGGTCTTAAAAATCTGAAACAGCGTCAGAATCGAAGGTGCGTGGAAATTAAAAGTGTCGAGTCGAACGAGTTGGTAAATTGGATCGGCTCTCTCTCCTCCTTGAACTTGAGAGGAGGTGTTGAGAACCGGCTGTTTTCTTTTAGCTAAATGAGAAAAAGGAAACGAAGGAAAAATTAGGAAAAAGAAAGAGGGAGAGAGAGAGAGAGAGAGAGAGAGAGAGAGAGAGAGAGAGAGAGAGAGAGAGAGAGAGAGAGAGAGAGAGANAGAGAGAGAGAGAGAGAGAGAGAGAGAGAGAGGAAATGTATCTGCAGATATTGAAAGTATTAGCATGTTAAGGAGTTTTAAAAGAGGAGATCACGGAATCACGATCGTTCCATGCCGAAGGATAATGAAAATCTCTTCCTCTTCCCTGCTTTTTTCAATTTGTCCAAATTGATGCTTAAAGTCGTTCCACCGGTGTCGTTCCTACGAATCGAAGTGGGAAAATCGGATTAAGAGGAATGGACGAACCGGAACGAAATTTGACGTCGTTGGATGTAAAGTACGTAATTTGCTTTGCGGATGCTATGTTGATGCTTTACAACGTGGAATAATGACGATTATCTACGCCGTGAAGAATTATATTATTGGAGAAGTGGAGTTTCTAGAGATCTAAGCATTTTAAGTAAAATGATGTGATGTAATAACGCAAAATTATGTAAAAAAATTCAACAAAATTATACAAATACCTCGATAACTGCACGTTTTATAAAATTAGAAGACGGGACATGCTGTATGTTTTTCTGTATGTTGGCAAATGGAAATGTGGGTAATGCATTTTGTTTATGATAAATTGTACGTATTATATGTATGGGAAAAATATTGAATATTAATTAGAATATATATATAAAAATTTAATGAAATTAAAAAAAAATTTAAAATTGAAATGATGAAATGAATTCGTTGAGAAAAATTATTAAAACGAATACGATATCAAGGTAATTTGACCTAAATTCTTAAAATAAGTATTCACCAATTTCTTTTTAAACATCATTTTTCATGAAATGAAATGATATATA